TCTAAGTGCTTGTCAGATGACTGCATGCAGCTGTATGGTCCAGAGGATGAAAAAAATAAGAGAATGGAAAAGAAAAGGAGAGAGAGACAGAGAAAGAGGGAGAGACAAAGAGATAAAAAAGAGAAAGAAAAAGATGTAAAATGTTGGCTATTGCAATGGTTTCTCTCTTCACAAAATACCAGCCTGCTGATTGGTAATTTTTCATGGTGGGTCTCTTTGTTTCTCCTCAACCTCTCCAGCCCCTCTTCCCCTGTACAGACTTCACAGTTGCTTAAGAAATCCATAGCAGAACGGGACAGCCCAAGAAAATGGTTTACAGCAAGGCAGGGTCAGAAACTTAGGAGAAGCACAGCCAGCTACTGGAGTCCTGAAGTTGGTGACATGAGAGAAACTGTAATGTTTAGCAAAGACAAATTTATTATCTCAAAGTCCTCCCTTCCTCCAACTCCCCACCCACAGCCCTACTCCTTGCCCTCCTCTCTATTCCACCTGCTGTTAGGTTAACTGGGCTAGATCCTCCAATTAGGGTTACCCTGGGATAAAACCACAGCCACACTTGACTCCTTTTCCCTCCATGCTCCTTATTTTGTTGTCCCCAAAGCCTGTCTGTCCTTGTGCATCCCCTCAGTGCCCCCAGGGGGCGGGGCTTTAGTTCCCCTGGGCTTGATTCCTGGATATAGAGCGGTCCTCTGATTCCATAGGCCCTTTCCTTTAATCCATTCTGCATACTTTTGTTTGTTGTTTAGTTGTTGTTGTTTTCCCTGAGTATTGGATCTAAAACATTACTCTCCTTAAAATTTTTTAATCACTCTCCATTGCCATTAGAACAGTTTCCTACCACAGGGCCTTTGCATGGACTGTTTTCTCTGCCTAGAATGCTTTCCCCCTAGATCAGTGCTGTTCAATGGCAACATTATGAGTCACATTTGTAGTTTTAAATGTTCTGGCAGCTGCTTTAAAAAAAAAAGTAAAAAGAAACATGTGCATTTCATTTTGATAATATTTTTATTTAACCTAGTATATTTAAAATATTTCAAAATCTAATATATACTTAGCTAGTAATAGGATGTTTTACATTCCTTGTTTGGTACTAAGTCTTTGAAATTTAGTATATAGGTTACATTTACCACACATCTCAATTTAGACTGTTCACATTTCTCATGCTCTGTAGCTGTGTAGGGCTAGTGGCTACCATACTGGACAGTACAGCCCTGGTCATTTATATGGTTTAGTCATTTCATTCAAATCTCTGCTTAAATGTCTCCTCAGGGCAGTCCTGCTTGATTGTCCCATGTAGGGCTCCCCAGCCACCCCTTATTTGCCTCTAATTCCCTTATACTGCTTAATTTTTTTTCTAGAACAAACCATGATATATTTTTGTTTATTTATTCATTATCTGTCTTTCCTTTTGGAATGGAATCTGTAAGAAGGCAGGATCGTTGTTGGTTTTATTTATTACTATCTCCCCAGTGCCTAGCACATAGTAGCTGCTCAGTTTATATGAGCTAAATGATAGGAATAATTGCTGCAGGATACAGTCTGAGGCCCTCCTGATCCGGCCAGGGCCTCCCCTCTGACTTCAGTTTCACAACTCGTGGCACTCACTGGCCAATTGAAATTAGTTTTCCGTCCCTTCCTTGCTTAATGCTGCTCTCTCCTTATGAAATATCCTTCTTCCCCTTTCCACACATCCAGGCCTTACTCATTTTTCAAGACCCATTTTGAAATCCTCCCTTCGAAGGAAGTGATTTCTTCCTTCTATGTGTAAACTATGTGTAAACTATGCTGTGTGTAAACTCTAGCATTTATCTCTCTTTTCTCTGGACCCGAGGACATATTTTCCAAGCTTCTTTTATGGCCCTTTTAGACAGCGCTAGTTTTGCTCCTATTTAACTCTTCCTCGAGACCGTGAGTCCCCTGAAGTCTGGAGCCATATCACGTTTGTCTTTGCATTGCCCACAGTGCTTAGCAGAAAATGCCTACAATTTGAACTTAAGCAAACCTCCATTTAATCAGCGATTCAATCTGTTATTCATTTATTTATTCAACAAATATTTGTTGAGCATTAACCATTTGCCAGGCACCATTCTGAGTGCTGGAGATAAAACAGTGAACAAAACTATCAAATCTTACAATCTAGTGCAGGAGATATACAATACATAGAGAACAATCACACAGACATACTAATGTTGGATAGTGATACATCCTGTAAAGGAAAATAAAAGAGGGGAAGAGAAAAGTGCCTGGCACTGGCTTCTTCTATTAGATAGTGCTGCCTTTGAGGCTCCTCTGACAGGTAGCATTTAAGCAGGCATGCAAATGAAATAAAGACCTGCATGTGTGAACTGTGTAACTTTATGCATATTACTTCATCTCTTTGAATTTCTATTTTCTTCATCTTTAAAAGGTTTATTTGAAGATTAAGTTAAAGTATATAACATATAAGAAATATACTGGTATATGGTAAGGGATTAATAATATCTGGTAATAATTAATGTTAACATTTATTGCTCCATTTACGGTGTAGTAGGCTTTGAAATAAGCTCTTTAAACACCTTATCTCATTTAATCCTTTAAACAGATTGTATTAGTTTTAAACAACAGAAAACCAAAATTAGCTGGCTTAAGCAAGGAATTTTGTTGGAGGAAATAGGGAATTCAGAAATTAGATGGGAGGTTAGAGAATTAGGCTTACAAAGAGCGTGGGAAAGTAGGTTAGAAACCAGCACAGGAACCAAGAGAGCAGAAAGCACTTGACCTTATTTAGTAGGTTCCACCACTGTAACCCAGGCACTCTGTAGATTTCCCCCCATTTCTGCACCATTCTGCTCAAAGGCTAATGAGCCAAGAAAGAGAATGCAATTGTCAAAAATTGCGCTCTGGCCAGGGGAGGTCTGGACATCTTGACTGGCAGTCTTTTAAAGGCTGTGCACAATGGGGAATATCTAGAATGATACTGGGTATTTTATTACCTGTATTTTATATATGATAAAATGAGGTTCACTGAGATTAAAAAAAAAAAAAAACCTTTCCCCAAATCTCTCAGGAGAGCTGGTATGAAACCTAGATCCTTTAGACTCCAGAGCCTCAGCCCTTCACCACCTGATTCCACTGCTTCTTGCTAAATGTTGCCATTGCTATAGCAGAGGTTAAAACACTGAGTACATAGTTGGTGCTCTTTCCTTCCTAATCGACAGTAAGACATTTTATAAGTATAAAGTGAGTGGATGAATGGATGGATGGATGGGTAGATGAAAGAAGGTTGGTTAGCTTCTGTGCCTGCAGTAGAGGCCCCCTAGTCTGTGGTCCAGGAGAGGGGAGTTGGGAGTGCACACAGGCAGACACTGCATCTGATGTGTGGTCGTTGCAGGTGGTTCCTAACATTACCTACCAGTGCATGGATCTGAATCTCTACAAAATCCCTGACAACATCCCCTCCTCAACCAAGAACCTGGACCTGAGTTTTAACCACCTGAGGCACTTAGGCAGCCATACCTTCTCCAGTTTCCCAGAACTGCAGGTGCTGGATTTATCCAGGTAATGAATGAGCTTTTACATACTGTACAAGGTAAGATGTTCATTGTTCTCTCATTTCATTCTTGGGTCATAAAGCCCAGTTAGTCGAGTGTTATCTTCATTCACTTATTCATTCATACAGCGATGTCTTACTTGCTATATAACCTTAAGCAAGCCACCTCTATTCTCCAGGTCTTAGTTTTCTCATCTGTGAAATGGGAATTTGGATGAGACTGTTTCTGAGGACAATTCTACTCCTGGATTTTCTTTTAAGTCAGGAGAGAACATTAACTTAAACTCTTTCATGAACAGATATTTAGTGACCCCTTGCTCTATGTTATACACTCTGCTAGGGAACAAGAGTATATTACTATATCACATGTGGCTCTTGTTGTTAAGGAGGCATATCCTCTTGAAAGAGTTGATATGTTAAAGTCGTGGGTATGGTGCTGGGTACAGAGTATACATTTAACAAATGCTATCTAATTCATTTTTTTTGTTTTGTTTTTTGATTTTGAAGCTGAGAAAAGGATGGTGATATATAAGTACATGATAAACTATGTGTAAACTACAGGTTACAAATTGTGTTGTTCAGAAGAGGGGCCTTCTCTGCGGTGGGTAGTTAAGAAAGATTTCATGAACAGAGTGAGATTCAAATAATGTTTGGAATATTGAAAGTAGGGAGGCAGATAGGGAATTAGGAAAAGACAAGTAACTCAAGGAGAGATGTGAAGATCAAAGGAAAACATCTGCTGTGGGCAAAGAATAGTGACTGATACTTTCTTTTCTGATGCAGGAAGTATATCATTTATTGTGGCAGGTGAAGTTATCATGATTTTTGGGGAGGAACTAAATGCTAAAAGGGTTTTCATCATCAGAAGCATTATTAAATAACTGAACTAGATAATAGACCATATTCTCTATAATGGTTTGCAAAAAATGCAGAAATATATATATACATGTATATATATGGCTGGATACTTTGCAGACAGCCCTCATATTTTTATTACAGAAATTCTTGATAAAGACTAAGGTCATAGTATGAAAATCACCTTAAGAGTAGACATTTCTGTAGAAGACTGAGTATTTGATATTTTATACTCTAACTTGGATATTGACAGGGTATAACAAAGGAGGAATGGAACATTTTAAAAGCAGTACCATAAAGTATAGAGCCCTATGTGGGTCAGAAGACCTGAGCCAAGTCCTCCTCCAACATTTATTGTAATCATGTGGCTTGAGGCATGTGACTTCATCTCCCTGAGGCTCAGTTTTCATATCTGTTAAATGAAAATGATGGAACTTATCCTATAGGATTAAATGTGGTAATGAATATTAACATGCTTTCCATATTTAAAACTTTGTAAAATATACTGTAAAAGCATAAAGTATTATTAGTGTACCATTTCATTACATTCTAAATTTCAGTTTTCTGAGTGAAAATTTTGCCCAGAACTGTAGTGAGGTAGATCATCCTTCCCGTTTTTTTTTTTTTTTTAACTTGACATTTTAATGTTTTATACAATTAAATGAATAGTTCTTTTGATGACTGCAGACATGGAAGGCTATTTGGTGGCATTCAGAAACATCACAGTAATGGTGGTTTTCCCAACTGGTATGTAGTCTTCAATAAGAAGTTACTTGTATGAAACTGCTATCAAACCAGTAAGACTGCATTTATACATCCATCGTTTTCAGGATTGTTGGTAACCTGGGCGTATTTCCCCCAGATAACCTTGCCCTCGTGTGTCACAAGGCCCAACTCGCTCACGTTGACCTCAATCACAGTACCTTTAGTAATAACACCCAAAGTTGTATGTAATGGGGATGAGGGATTCTTCTTTACACCAAGTATTGGTAGGCAAAAGGTAGCTTTCAGTTCAGGATGTGTTACATGGGCCTTCTTGAAACGTAAGCCCATTGGCCTAATGAATCTTTCATATTTAGGTGGTTTTCTTGTAAAGCCATCTCCAACAAAGCAGACTTTAGTAACCATCCTCCTCCATGCCTTTTTCTTTCTCTTTCCTGTTCGAATAACTTTTAATACTTCTGTTTCTCCCTGGGCACGAACTTTGGGCAGAGGGACTTCCCATTTTCCCGCTTTCTCTTTCCGTTTTTGTTTAATCATATTGGAAAGTACTTTGGCTCAGGACTGTCCCTCTCTGTCCAGAAGATAGGCAGGTACTGCTCCCTGTGGAGTCTTTTCATCATTCTTTTGTTTGGTGTTTCTCTTTCCATGCATCTTGATAGTCTTTTTCATTTGTATTTTCTCAGCATGGCGCTGCTTATCGTAGAGCTTAGCCTTCAGACCAATCATCTTCTTTGCTTTCTTCAATCATTCATGAGCCTCTCGACTTTCCTTTTTTCTCTTTTTCTCATGGTAATCCAAACGATACATTTAGCATTTACGGTGTAATTCAATATGTTCATTTTGTGGCATGGTGACGGCCGCAGAGCCACCGGTCGCAACCTCTCCGGCACGAAGAAGCTCTCAATCTCGGGGTCTCAAGAGATCCACGCGCGGCTCAACGCAGGCCGCGACAGGAAAGGGCTTCCCGTTTTTTTAAAATAAAAAAATAGTTTTTCATCAACAATCTCTTATAATTCATTTTTGATCCACCATTTACCCAAGAAACTTGGCTCAGAAGCCTTAAATATGAGCTTAGAAAGAAGACAGCTTTCCCTCTGGTTAGCCCACGGAACATTCCAAATTCGGGCAAGGACAAACAATAGCACAGTAGGCATCCTTTGCCTTTTCATACAGTGTTCACATATAGCAACTCGACTAGTCCTCTGAGAGTCCTTTGTGCTAGACCAGGCAGCCTTTTTTCCCAGTCTATGGAAATCTGTCTATCTACCTATCTATCTATCCATCATCTATCTATATCTATCTATTTTCCTTTTAAAGATGAGAAAACCAAGTGAAATGAACAGAAACTTTTCAAAAGAAGACAGAATAATGGCCAGCAAACATATAAAAAAATGCTCAACATCTCTAATCATTAGAGAAATACAAATCAAAACCACAATGAGGTATCACCTAACCCTGGTGAGATTGGCCTCTATCAAAAAAACACAAAACAACAAATGTTGGCGAGGATGTGGAGAGGCAGGAACACTTCTACACTGTTGGTGGGACTGTAAGTTAGTGCAGCCTCTGTGGAAAAGAATTTGGAGATACCTCAGAGAGCTAAAAATAGAAATACCATTTGATCCAGCAATAGTACTATTAGGCATCTACCCAAAAGAGCACAAAACATTCTACGATAAGGACATCTGCACCCGAATGTTTATGGCAGCACAATTCACTATTGCAAGAATGTGGAAACAACCCAAGTGCCCATCAATCCATGAGTGGATTATCAAAATTTGGTATATGTTCACAATGGGATATTACTCAATCATAAGAAATGACAGTGATCTAGCACCTCTTACACTTTCCTGGATTAAACTTAAGCCCATTATCCAAAGTGGGGCACCACAAGAGCAGAAGAACGGGATCCATTTGTACTCACCATGAAATTGGTATTAACTAATCAACACATAAATGCACATATCAGAACAACATCTATTGGATGCTGGGGAAGGGGGAGGGCGGCGGGAGGAGGGGGGAGCAGGGAGGAGGGGAGGGGTGTTTGTATACACAAGGAGGGCAATGCGCACTACCCGAAGGATGGACATATTTGAAACATGGACTTGGGGGCGAGGAACCAAGGGCAACACACGTAACCTAAACATCTGTACTACGGGGAGGGCGGCGGGAGGAGGGGGGAGCAGGGAGGAGGGGACGGGTGTTTGTATACACAAGGAGTGCAATGCGCACTACCCGAAGGATGGACATATTTGAAACACGGACTTCTGGGGGTGGGGGGAACCAAGGGCAACACACGTAACCTAAACATCTGTACACCCATAATTTGCTGAAATAAAAAAATAAATAAATAAAGATGAGAAAACCGAGCTTGGAGACTTTAAGTGACTTGTATACATTCACTTAGCTTGTTGGCAGCAGACCAGGAATTCAAGTTCACATCTCCTGCATCTAAGTTAAATGTTCTCATCTTAATACTCTATTTCTCTAATGTGATGATCACTGTGTAATAAGATACAGACACAGCAAGACCCTTCCAGACCTCGCTTAGGGTAATGACTTCCAGTTTCGTCCAACTTGCTGCAAAAGACATTATTTCATTCTTTCTTATAGCTGAGTAGTACTCCATGGTACCTATATACTACCTTTTCTTTATCCATTCATCAGTTGATGGGCACTGAGGTTGATTTCACATCTTTGCAATTGTGAATTGTGCTATGATAAATATTTGGGTGCTAGTGTCTTTTTTGTTAAATGATTTATTTTCCTTTGGGTAGATTACCCAGTAATGGGATTGCTGGATTGAATGGTAGGGCTACATTTAGTTCTTTGAGGAATCTCCCCATTGTTTTTTATAGAGGTTGTACTTGTTTACATTCCCACCAACAGTGTATAGTATTCTCTTTTCACTGCATCTGCACCAATATCTATTATTTTTTGACTTTTTAGTAATAGCCATTCTGACAGGAGTAAGGTGGTTTTTAATTTTCATTTTCCTGATGATTAGTGATGTTGAGCATTTTTTCATATGTTTGTAGGCCATTTATATATCTTCTTTTGAAAAATGTCTGTTCACATCTTTTGCCCACTTTTTAATAGGGTTATTTGCTAGGTCTTTTCTTGCTGATTTGTTTGAGTTTTTTGTAGATTCTGGATATTAGTCCTTTGTTGGATGTGTACTTTGCAAATATTTTCTCCCATTCCGTAGGTTGTCTATTTACTCTGTGGATTATTTCTTTTACTGTGCAGAAACATTTTAGTTTAATTAAGTCCCATTTATTTATTTTTGTTTTTGTTGTATTTGCTTTTGAGATCTTAGTCATAAATTCTTTGCCTATGCCAATGTCCAGAACAGTGTTTCCTAAGTTTTCTTTTACAGTTTTTACGGTGTCAGGTCTTTCATTTAAGTATTCAATAGATTGTGAGTTAATTTTTGTATGTGGTGAGAAATAAGGATCCAGTTTCATTCTTCTGCATATGGCTATCCAATTTTCCCAGCACCACTTATTGAATAAGACATCATTTCCCCAGTGTATGTTTTTGTCTGCTTTGTCAAAGATCAGTTGGTTGTATTTTTGGGTTGTCTATTCTGTTCTATTGATCTATGTGTCTACTTTTATTCCAGTATTGTGCTGTGTGAGCTACTATAGCCTTGTATAATTTGAAATTAGGTAATATGGTACCTCCAGATTTGTTCTTTTTGCTTAGGATTGCTTTGGCTATTCAGGCTGTTTTTTGCTTCTAAATGACATTTAGCACTGTTTTATCTAATTCTGTGAAAAATGACATTGGTATTTTGATGGGAATTGTATTGAATCTGTAAATCACCTTGCACAATATGGACATTTTATTAATAACAATATTGAGTCTTCCAATCTATGGGCATGGGCTGTTTTTTCATTTGTTTATGTCATCAATGATTTCTTTCCTAAGTGTTTTGTAGTTCTCCTTGTAGACATCTTTCACTTCCTTATTTAAGTATTTTCCTAGATATTTTATTTTTTTTGTAGCTATTGTAAGTGGTATTGAGTTCTTGATTCAATTCTCAATTTGGCTATTATTAGTGTACAGAGATGCTACTGATTTGTATACTTTAATTTTGTAATTTGAGATTTTACTGAATTTATTTATCAATTCCAGGATTCTTTTGGAGGAGACCTTAGGGTTTTCTAGATCTAAGATCATATCATCAGCAAATTGGGATAGTTTGACCTCCTCTTTTCCTATTTGGATACCCTTTATTTTTTTCTCCTGTCAGATACTCTGGCTAGCACTTCTAGTACTATGTTGAATAGAAGCGATGACAGTGGGCATCTCTGTTTTGTTCCAGTTCTCAGGGGCAGTGTGTTCAACTTTTCCCCATTCAGTATGATGTTGGGTATGGGTTTGTCATATATGGCTTTTATTATTCTGAGGTATGTTCCTTCTATGCCTAGTTTGTTGAGGGTTTTTATAATGAAGTGGTGCTGGATTTTATCGAATGCTTTTTTTTTTGCCTCTATTGAGATGATCGTATGATTTTAATTTTTAATTCTGTTTATGTGGTGAATCACGTTTATTGATTTGCATATGTTCAACCATCCTTGCATTTCTTGGATGAAATTCACTTGCTCATGATGAATTATTTTTTTTGATGTGCTGTTGGATTCAGTTTACCGGTATTTTGTTGAGGATTTTTGCATCTGTGTTAATGAATGATATTGGTCTGTAGTTTTCTTTTTTGTTGTTGTTGTGTCTTTTCCTGGTTTGGTATCAGGGGAATACTGGCTTCACTGAGTGAGTTAGGAAGGATTCCCTTCTTCTCCATATGTAACAGTTTCAGTAGGATAGGTACTAGTTCTTCATTGTATGTCTGGTAAAATTTGGGTGCAAATCTGTCTGGTCCTGGGCTTTTTTTTTTTTTCTGTTGGGAGATTTTTTATTACTGATTCAACCTTGGTAGTCATTACTGGCTTGTTCAGGATTTCTGTTTCTTCCTGATTTAAGTTTGGGAAGTTACGTATTTTCATAAATTTATCTATTTCCTCTAGATTTTCAAGTTTGTGTATATAGAAGTATTCATAGTAGTCTTGGATGATCTTTTGTATTTCCATGGTATACAATATTGTAGTGTTTCCTTTTTCATTTCTGATTGAGCTTATTTGAGTATTTTCTCTTTTCTTGGTTAACCTAACTAGTGGTCTATCGATTTTGTTTATCCTTTCAAAGAACCATCTTTCCATTTCATTGATCCTTTTTTTTATTTCAATTTTATTTAGGTCTGTTCTTATCTTTGTTATTTCTTGTCTTCTGCTAGCTTTGCGTTTGGTTTGTTTTTATTTTACTACTTCCTTGAGGTGTGACATTAGGTTGTTAATCTTTCTGTCTTTTCAATGTAGACATTTAATGCGATCAACTTCCCTTTTCATCTTGTTTTTGATGTATCCCAGAGATTTTTGGTAGCTTGTGTTGCTATTGTCATTCAATTTAAAAATTTTTTTGATTTCTACCTTACTTTCATTGTTAACCCATAGATCATTCAGCAGCAGGTTGTTTAATTTCCATGTATTTGTATAGCTCTGAGAGTTCCTCTTGGAATTGATTCTATTTTTATTTCCCTGTGATCTACAAAGATACATGGTATGATTTCAAATTTTTTTAAGTTGGCTGAGACTTGTTTTGTGGCTAAGATATTATCAATCTTGCAAAATGTTCCATGTGCTGATGAGAAGAGTGTATATTCTGTAGTTTTGGGGTAGGTTAGGTTAGGTTCATTTGTTCTAGAGTCCTTTTTAAGTCTAGTATTTCTTTGTTGGTTTTCTGTCTCAATGATCTGTCTAGTTCTGTCAGTGTAGTGTTAAAGTTCCTGC